ATGTACCAAGACAGCATTCGTGGTTTAATTCATTGAACCACTCGATCGAGCTGTGGTTTGACAGTTGAAATCTTCGAACACCACGAACAAACCAAAATACCCTTCAGGAATTTCCTCTCTTGGAAGACAAGAGGCAACTCAATACTACTGTGAAAATATAAGTCTCACTCATTATAATGATATGACAGGCAGAAACAAAATATGGTTGATGGAATATTCCATTTTAATTTCAACTGTAAACAATTTCTCATAAGTCAAACAACGCCTATGGAAAAACGTTATGAATTTCATGGACTCCGCATTTCCCGGAGATATTTTCAAGTGAAGTCAATATTTATATGACTGCGAGTCTCCAAAGATTAAATTAGGCAAGGGCGTATCGAAAATTCAATAACCAGACAAGAAACCCGAAAATTATAGGATCTTTCCTCCATACAGAATCGGGGTGAGAGATGGGTGAACGGATATTTTGTACTGTTCAACTATAGAAATAAATATCTACTATGTTTCCAGGATTGTGATCATCAGACCATTTCAGAGAAATTTTCTCAGTGAATAGCTATGAATAAATACAATTAGATTCAAGTGACCTGAAGTGAATCGATTTCCTACACACAGAAGAATTATCATGAGAATTTCGATCAAAAGGCATCCTTTTGTTATCTTTGCTAATAGCAACAGGGGAATTTCGGATGAATTCCGTTAGTTCCTATTAACTAAATGGAATCAATAGGTGATAATTTTTTTGTTATATCTATTGGAAAACGTTACTCAAATTCATTCGGAACTATGTGTGTTTGCTTTCAAGGTTTGAATTTCTTCAGAGAAGTAAGCACAAAAAAATTTAAGTTGCTTATGAACTCGATTGATTCTTGAAAGTATCATGGAGATGACATTCCACGATTATGACAAGATTTTTACCAATAATATTTTCTGAGATTGCATTGGGAACTAACATTCACTCAAGGATCGTTTGGTCGCCAATTCCTTCGCTATGTCAAAATCGCGGCACCAAGTAAGTAAGGGAGTAGGTACGCGTTTATGTATCACGATAAGAAATAAGCACAGTACGACTTTTCCAAAGGCAATATGACAAAGATTTCAGTTTTATTCTTCTCCTGAAGATGCTAACATAGTAAGCGAAACACGTGTCGAGGCGTTCGAAAAATCGGTTTGATTGGTGGTGAAACAGTGTAGTGGTATTATCGTACCAAAGATCCCAGTCTTCGATATTCGTTGGTTATATCTTATATATAGTATTCAGATGTGGAAAAAACTTTGGTATCCAGCAGAGATTTTCTGCAGGTAATCAGATCTTGTATGTTGTCTGAGAATTGAAAGATTATCTAGGAATAATTGCGATGCATTATGAAGAGTTCGCATGTCAAAAAATGGAACAAAACCAGAGAGGCTTGGTTTTATTGAGTTATGGAAATTAAGGTGACAGAGAATATTCATCGTTCAAAGGTCGAGCTTACCACTCACCACCATCAGCCTGTTGGGATTCCGATTATGGTCAGCTTCATCAAATCAACGTCAAAATACGTATGAACTCTAGTCAGCGACAACCTGGTTATTCACGCGCTGCAAACAGATAACTCAAATATGCATCATCTGCCAAATCTATCAGGCAGTCCAAACCACAAGACATTTCAGCTGGCAAGATGGCGTCTGGTTGGCAAGAAAAGATTATACATCACTTGTAGATAAATGGTCTCTTTCATAATTTCCCCTATCATTCTGGAAGTTTTATGTGTCAGATGTTTAAAAATGTCTCGGGAGCTGAATTCAATTATTATCTACAGTACTTCAATATGCAGAGTTTATATTTTGAGAAGTTATTCCAGGAACACCCAGAGGTTGATCAGAGGTAAACATAAATATTCACTGTTATTCCTTATATTTTCCTACACTAACCAGTGTACTTCCATGCCTGAAACTGTCATAAAACCATAATTCGTTTGTAGATATCTGATGAAGTTGATGTTGATCAAGGATTTGAAGCCCTTCATGCACATTTGAAACTGCTGACTGCTTAGACTACCTGATGATTAAACTCTCCTTTCATAGAACTGTCACAGTTCCTACACTCGTGAGCAGATGTAAGGCTTCAAAATCCTTGTTGCTCACTAAAAGTATTTTTCAGCAACGTTCGTCCTGAACGTAGAAAGAAAAATATTTGATTTTCATGTCCATGATTGGAAAGGTAACTTTTCACTTTTGTACCGAAATAACTTTCATGTTAGGAATATTTTTAAAGATGAAATTATGTTATTCATATATTTTTAATATATTTTCTACCTCATATTCATATTGATGTAGGTGATTTGTGACCCATGCCACCAATCTCCACCATTGTGCCCATAATACCTTTAGTAGAAATGGACTTATTTACAGTTGCTCTGGCAGGTTCGATACAAAATCACTACTATATCTTCAATGTCCAAGCAGAGTGTTTTTTGAGTAGATATTTCCCCAGAAGTGAGGGATAGTGAAAATGAACTTGGTGTAAGTGTTCAAGTGCTTATGATGGAACCCCTATGATTATTTGTGACAGTGAATAAGTTGAATCAAATGGTTCCATTTCGAATGTGTAGATATTTGAGGTACACTGAAGTCAGCATGGTTTTGTGAATTCTGATTTGACAAGTTCTATAAAAAGATATATACCTATTCATAATATGCCATTCTATCATTGTTTATTTATGTTTCAATCAGATCACTAAATACCTATATATAATGTTCTATGAACATTTTTTCATGACTTATAGAAATCATATGTGATATAGTGAAATAATACAATATATTTTTCATTTGATGAATATTACAATCATTTCGATATACCTACTATATTTGGCATTCATTTAAAATCAATAAAAATGAATCACAACAAACTGTAATTTGTAGAAGTATAATCTCGTAGATTTCCACTTCGTTTTCACAAATATTTCTCTTTATATCACCATCTCCCAGGACATTTGCTTCATCACACTAAAATAAATATAAAATCAAGTAGTAGTATTAGGTAATTTGATGTTTTCTTGGGAACATATCAGGTCTCTTGTTTTCGATGCATTCAAACCATTCGTCTGCTCTCAGTTTTCAATCCATATCAGCCTTGCATTTTTAATTGGATAGAGGTTGTCGACCCATATTGTTCTACAATGGAGCCCAAGCTGGATAATTTCCATCTATCAGACACTAGGTTCTCCTACAAGGTATAGATTTTGTGTGTATTGAAAACATGATGTTCCCAAACTAATTAGGACCATCAAATGTAATAAGTATTGGTTCCTCTTATCAAAATGGAATGAGTTTTCAATAGCATGAAATTCGTCAGTTCTAGCGTAAGTAGGTACATATAAATATTATTGAAATCCTTTTTGTTAGGTACCTGTTATGAAAATATTGTCTGCCACATATCATCTGGTTCAGTATGATTGATTCGTTTTTGATGTGGCTGGATCAGAAAAATCTGCGCTATGGATCCGTACATCCTATTTGCGGCCGACTAAGTATCTTCAATATGTGGTGCGAAACAAAGTTTAGGGTCGAAAGTTACACCGAGGTCGGAAAAAATAGATGGCTGTTGGAGAGGAGTATCATTTATGTCAAATTGGAATAAAATGAGCTGTTTCTTTTGTGAATATGGCATTACATTACAATTTCTGGTATTCAATGGTAGATTGTTAGGGAAGCACCATTGTTCAACGCTTTTGAGAGAGTCGCTCACAATCCTCGATTTCATTTATCACAAAATATATATCTGAATCGTCTGCATACCTTCAACAATTGACATCGATTATTACGATTGAATCATTGATGAAGAAGCGGCTCTACGTTACTGCCTTGTGGGACACCCAAGGTATCTGAATATCCAATAGATTTGAAACCATTGAATATAACATTTTGACGCCTGTCATCAGTGAGATATAATGCAGAAAGTTGCATAAATGCCAGTGATAGTCCGTACATGTATTATTTCGTTAGTAGTACTCCATGATCAAGTCTGTCAAACGCCTCCAAGTAGTCCGTATATATATGACATCAACCTGAGATCACTTATCGATACTCTCATATATTGAGTCATATCGAATCAATTAATGATTGATTACTGACTTGCTGAAGCGATGTGAATTGACTAGTGAGATATGGGTCTGAAGTTGCCAATATCAAATTTGTCCCAATTCTCGCGTAATGGACTACTTCGAATAACTCCCATAACTCAGGTAAAGTGCAGGATTTCAAGCAGATATTGATCCATATTGTGAATGGTCGAGCAAGGACATGGGCACAATCTCTTATTAGAATAGCAGGAATGCTGTCAGGGCCATATGTCTCTTTTGGTTTCATCTGCAAACTTGCTTGAAAAAATCAGTGTTCTATTTATCGTAATCTTAGTATTGAACGGCCTTGTTGAGAGATAATTGAGCTATAAACAGATTGCTCAAAAACTGATTCTGAAATGGAGTTCGACACCCTGTATCTCGGAAGTGATGCAACACTTCATATGGCCAGTTCGTCTTAGAATCACTGGAGAACCAATTCTTGAAGAGTTATCACATACTTGATCGGCACCCTTTGGGTATGAAATAGTTTTTGTTGTAACATTCTGATATTATTTATAAATGGCACATACCTTCAGGAAACGCTCAACCCTGTGAGTGAGAGACACAAAATTGATAAACAGGGGTGTCAAGATATTTTATGCTTCTTCAATTTGACGTATGATTATCTATCGGGGTGACATCATAGGGTCATTAAAAATGACTCATTGAATTATCTTCCTGATCTCATCTAGGCAGATCTTCTATATATATTGCCTGCCATATATCCACCACCCGTGGGGCATTTATCAATTATGTGACCATCATGCAGTGATATATGCGTTATACTGCCAACATCGACACGCAAAATCACCGGCAGATCTGTCGGAATAGAATCAGGATATTATGAATGGAGCTTGATATTTGTTCTAGCTCAGATGTAAATGGATTAGCATGCATTATCATGGTAGAATTTTCGACACACTTTGACATCTGACGGATTAACGCGTTTGTTATGTTTCGCTGTAACATTTGTAGTAGAAACCTATACATCATTTCTTGTTTAGTCAAATCATTAATGGAGGAGAGCTGAAGGAAACCCAGATTCATAGTGGATGGTGTCATCAGACCAAAATATGATGTAGATTTAAAAACTCCATATTTATCGCAGGAACTCGAAAAGTGTTTAAAAGGGACATTATTCGACTCCTTCTGTATAATTTCACGCATTTCAATAAAAAGTGATGTCAATAGTCATTCATCATGAACTTGATATCCATAAAACATCAGCAGTAAGGAGATATTGATGATCGTTTCATGGTAAATTCCACACTCTTCACAAGCACCATTTTTCCGGTACAGAGTTACACGGTTTTCTGGATGACAGTTTACACAGATTATTCGAATTTTGTGAAGATACTCACTTCATTGAATGATTCATATGGCTCAAATCCATCATATTATGTCGTTTAAATCTCAATTTCAGTAAAGAGTGAAGTAACACACTTGTCAAATCATCTCTTATTGAATACAAAATGAGGTAGTAAACAATATCAGGTGCTCTGAAATGATTTATTATCTTTTCATTGGATTTATTTTTTGACCGGTCGCTATACAGGGTGTTATGAATTCGTGGATAAGCATTAGGATCTTGGTAACCATCAGAGATACAGAGAGGTCAGATTGAAACGAAGTTGCGGTATTTCATGCTCAACGAAATACTGCTTTGGAATTGGAAAAATTTCGAATATATCCGAAAAATGGGAGATCGTGCCAAATCATTTCTATCTATATCTCAGTTTATTCGACGAGATATTGAGAAAAAAAGTAATTTTATGAGAACTACTCTTCCTCATCTACTGAATTGAATTCTCCTAATTGAAATGACTTTCTCATTGTAGCGGCCATCATCCACTTCATTTTTCAAATTAGGCTCTATATTTTTTAATTCCTTTTCGATAGTTTTTGATATTCTTGATAAGATGGTTACATGCTCGTATTCAAAATCAATCATTACCCTTATAACACACATGTCTCATGGATATCCTAAGGACGTCCTGCCGGGACATTCAGGACGTTCGTTCGAATTTGGTACCGTGGACGTCCATCGGACGTCTGTGGGATGCACAAATGTCCCACTTGAGGACCAACTAGGGACATTGAGAGATGTCCCTGGGACAACTATAGAATACCTGAATCCTACAGTATTCCTCATCAAGCACTACAGAGAACATCCTTAGAACATCCATAGGACAACCTATCAGCAACGCTGAGGGATACCAATTGGATGTCCATAGGATGTCCCAGGGACGTACGAATTATTCTTGAATTTGAATTTCTCTGGGTCCCTCTAGTACCAGATCTTGCATAACTGAATAGGACATCTAGTTGAGTTGATGGTCCGTAGAAGGTCCCCAAAAAGTTTCCCACGGATGTCCGATGGAATTACGTAAAGGACATTGACAAGGAGTACTTATAGCCTTCGAGTAATCATTCGTCGGCGAGGTGTAAGTAAACGTCCTCGCAGGGACAACATATTGAAAGTACCGACTGGTACGTCTATAGGACATTGGAAGAGTACAGTTCATGTACCAATTGGGATTCGATTCGTAGGCAATGAAATTTACTACAAAACAGTCAGTGACAGCATCAACTTGGGGCCCGCCTCCCCAAACCCAACTCCTCCTGCTGAAGGCTCTGCCTCAGGACCTTTAAGGGGGCCCGAAGCTCCACATCCCTACCACGTCACAATCCCAGGCTCGAACCGAGGGCCGGGGAACACAAGCAACCTCCGGGATGCCAAGGCCGATACTCAGGTGGGCTCTGCACCAGGGACCAGCCGAGTACCGGTACCCGACGAGATATCATCCCCGGGGCCCTCAAACTTCGGATCGAGGGGGGCCACAAAAATGGCTCCTGGGTCCAAGGCTGAGAGGGCTCTGGAAGGAGATATCTCGTCGGAGAACCCCACCCTGTCCGAGGAGGAGCGCCTACTGAGCGACAATGTTGCCCAGGTAGGAGCTCGCCTTGGAGAGATGAAGGTGAAACGGGCAAACCGCAGCGGGGCTGCCAAGAAAAGGGCGGCTCGCAGAAGAAGGGAAGCCACGGCGAGCAATCCAAACACACAGCCTGAACCGGAAGGTAATAGGCAGCCACAAACGAGTTCCAAGGCTCAGACTGAGAAAAGTCAGGTGCCTAGGAACCCGAAGAAACCAGCCTACGCTGGAAAACGAGCGGCCAAGGGCAACGCAGGCTCACAGGTCCCCAAGGGAGCTGCGGGACAGCGAGGCTCTGAGGGCAGCGAACGGAAGGTGGACCAAACAAAAAGGGTGAGGTCCACCGGGTCAACACCTCCGGACCAACGGCAACAGGCAAAGAGGCTCTGCCTAGTGGTTCCAGAAGCCACATTGGGCAGGGGCACCTTTGCCCAAGCTGCTGGGGACGATGAACTGCGGAGAACAATCGTCAGAATAGGACGAGAGTCTACAGGGTTCTCCGCCGACGACCTGCTGGATTTCAGTGACTCTCTGGGACGAATTGTGGAGGGGCTCCCGCCAGGGGCAACACCACCAAGATTCACCTCGAGAGTGATCGGGGAGCGAATCATAGTGGAGTTCCAAGATAGGTACTCTCTAGATTGGCTCCTGAAATCCATCGGGGAAATCACTCCCTGGGAAGGTGTACGCCTTGCAGCCATTGAGATGCGCTCCCGAAGGCTGTGGCGGGCGAACATCTGGATACCTGGGAGAGAGATCCGGAGCTCAGCGGAAACGCTTGGGGCTCTGGAAAGATACAATCCGGGACTCATCACTCTGTGGTGGAGAGTCCTGGCGAGAACAGAAGGGGACAGGGGACTCAGGCTCACAGTGAGGATAGATGAAGAGTCCATTGCTCTCTTCAGAAGTATGGACCTTCAGCCGTTCTACAGGGCACTGAGGGCATCAGTCACCCTTTCAGATGATCCGTCCAGAGCCACCATGGAGGCTCAGGAGAACATGGACGTTGAGATCCCGGTACCAGGGACCTCCACGGAAAACGCACAAAGAGTGCCGGTAGGGAAGGGCTCAGTTGATGAACAGGGCTCTACAACCGGCACTCTGAGTGAAGGAGAGGGGCTCGTCAGGTCAGGTGATGAGGGCACCTCCAGCAGAGTGCTCACTGACCCTGGTTTGGAAGGTCCCCCAGATAGAGGGGACACCGCGCAAGGTGCGGCGGGATCTCCATCAGGAGGGCCCGCCGAGCACGGCGCGGAGGAACCGACGGAAGGGCTCACCGCATCCATGACAGAGGCACCTTCTCAGGAAGGCACTCCCTACCAATAGGGACGAAGGGACCCCCAACAGGAGGGCTCTCTACCGACATGGAGGTGGAGGGACAAAAAAAAAAAAAAAAAAGGCCAAGGTCATACAAGCAAATCTACAGCACGGTTCAGCGGCCACAGGAGTTCTCTAACGGCGGCTAGCTGAACTGGGGACAAATATAGCACTTATCCAAGAACCTTGGGTATATAAGAGCAGGATAAGGGGCATGGGGTCCTGGGGTGGAACACTATTCTGGTGCAACACAGTAGAGGCTCCCAGAACCTGCATCTTGACAAAAAATGTAAACGCTTCGCTGTTACAGGGCTTCTGTTACAGAGACCTAGTGGCGGTGAAGATAAAAGTAGTTATTGGAGAATCTGAGATGGAGATAGCGGTGTGCTCCGCCTACCTCCCCTACGACGCTCCTGAACTGCCACCAACTGCTGAGCTAGTGGAATTAGTGAGGTACTGTGAAAGGGAGCAACTGCCGTTGCTCATTGGGTGCGACTCCAACTCACACCATAATGTGTAAGGGAGTACTGGGGTCAATCCGAGGGGCTCAGCGTTGCTCCAGTATATTTCGCGAACCGATCTAGAGATCCTAAATCGGGGCTCTGTGCCGACCTACTTCACGGCAAGGAGGCAAGAGGTGATCGACATCACGCTATGCTCTCGGGCACTAGTGAACAAGATTACAAAGTGGACTGTATCAGAAGAAATATCTCTCTCAGATCACAGACACATAATAATGGAGCTAGGACCAACGGTCCACCAGAACATAACCTACAGGAATCCCAAAGCAACCAACTGGGAACTCTTTGAAGAGGAGCTCAAAGCGGGTGTGATGGGATTTCCAGAATGCCACAACAAAGAGGAAGAAGTCGAGGGCTCTGTTGACCACATCACGCGTGCCCTCACATCTTCTTATGAGACAAGCTGTCCTCTGAAGACGAGAAGACAAGATCAAACCACTCCCTGGTGGAACCCCCACGTAAGCAAAAAGCGAAGGGATGTGAGACGACTCTTCAATAGGGCCAAAAGTACAAAACAAACCCAACACTGGGCAGCCTTCAAGGAGGCTCAAAGAGAGTACAAGGCCCTGATCAAGAGAGAAAAGAGAGAAAGCTGGAGGGCCTTTTGCGAAACCATTGAAAACATGCCAACAGCTGCAAGGCTACACCACGCTCTCTCAAAAGAACCGACTATAGGACTAGGGCCAATGAGGCTCATGAGTGGAGAGCTAACGTCCTCGGACGAAGATGCCCTGCGCCATCTACTGTCGGTCCATTTTCCTGGAAGCAGGATGAATCCAGCCAGCTCAGAACCAGTACGGAGACCCCGAAAGGAGGATTTCAGACTGGCTAAAGAGGTGGTTACCTATGACAAGGTGTGCTGGGCGATTAACAGCTTTGCACCCTATAAATCAGCTGGAGAAGACGGCGTGTTTCCGGCCCTACTACAAAAGGGCCTTGAACACGTAGCTTTACCTTTGCTGAAAATATTTAGAACATGCCTGGCTCTCGGGTACGTACCAATACTCTGGAGGGCCGCGAGAGTAGTGTTCATCCCAAAGCCCGGGCGAACTGATTACACCCTAGCAAAATCCTTCCGACCTATCAGCTTAACCTCCTTCCTTCTGAAGACACTGGAAAGGCTAATAGACCGGCACATCCGCGATGGTAGTATGAAAAATCTACCCTTACATCGACGACAATACGCATACCAGGCTGGGAAGTCTACCGAGACGGCCCTTCATCACCTCGTTGGTAGAGTGGAGCAGGTGCTAAATCGCAAACAAAGTGGCCTAGGTATCTTTATGGACATCGAGGGGGCTTTCGATAATGCGAATTTCAACTCAATGTGCAACGCTGCGGAGAGACATGGCATTGAGGAGACCATCAGCCGATGGATCCGAGCTATGCTCACTCAGAGAACAATTACGGCAAACCGAAATGGTTGTGCTGTTAGAGTGGTCGCTACCAGGGGGTGCCCGCAGGAAGGGGTGCTCTCTCCTCTGCTTTGGTGCCTGGTGGTAGACAGCCTACTTACCCTGCTAACGCAGCAGGGGGTATACGCACAGGCCTACGCAGACGACGTGGTCCTGTTTATTGAAGGGCCTTTCCCAGGGACTGTGTTTGACGTGGCACAAAGGGCCCTTGGACTGGTTGAGGAATGGTGCCAGGAGCAGAGGCTCAGTGTGAATCCTGAGAAAACTGCTTTGGTCCGCTTCACTAGGAAGAGAAACCTTGGCAACCAAGAGAGCTGATACTCTTTGGGAAACCTATACAACTTTCTAGCTCAGCCAAATATCTAGGGGTGACCATAGATTCTAAGCTAACCTCGAAAGAACATCTGGACTCCAAACTCAGGAAGGCGACAGCAGCCTTTTGGGTATGCAGAAAAACCTTCGGAGCAAAATGGGGACTCCAGCCTAGAGTCCTATATTGGATATATACGGCGATGATAAGGCCGATGATATCATACGCGGCAGTCGTGTGGTGGCCGAGGACCAGGCTGAAAACAGCCAGATCCCAGCTGGCCAAAACACAACGCCTAGCATGTACTTGTATTTTAGGGGCAATGAGAACGGCCCCAACTGAGGCCCTTGAGGTACTGTTGGGACTACCACCACTCCACCTGCATCTTCAGAATGAAGCCAGGAGGGCCGCCTATCGACTCAACTGTACAAAACAGTGGCAGGACCATGGGCGGCTCACAGGACATTCGTTAATATGGAACGAGGCTATTCAAAGCTGTCCAGTCCTCTCAATGGTCCAGGACAGCATGATACCCTGTTACGAATTTACCCAACACTCCTTTGTTCAATTCCCATCTCGGGAAGAATGGAAAGGACCGGGACCGAGTCTGCTTCACCGCGAGGGGCACAACTGGTTCACAGATGGGTCCAAAATGGATGGTAAAGCAGGTGCGGGAATATATGGACTGCGTCCCAGGGCCGACCTGAGTATCGGTCTGGGTGAGCATGCCTCTGTATTCCAAGCAGAAATACAGGCCATCCTGGTCTGTGCACAAGAAATTCAGAAAAGGGACTACAATAACAGGCTCATCTCGATATGTTCGGACAGCCAAGCGGCTCTGAAAGCTCTGGGATCTCCGAGATTAATCTCAAGATTAACACTCGATTGCAAGTTGGCTCTTAACTCAATAGCGAGAACCAACAAAGTCCACCTACTGTGGGTGCCGGGACATGAAGGCATTGAAGGAAACGAAGGCGCTGATGCCTTAGCAAGGCGGGGCGCCTCAACTCCTCCCATCGGGCCCGAACCCATAGTAGGTGTCCCCCAATGTGTCGGCCGAAAAGCCCTGGATGACCTGCTATGGCGGCAATTCCAGACATCCTGGGCAGAAGCAGGGAGAATGAGGCAAGCACGGCTCCATATTGCGGGGCCATGCAAACATCAATCACACAGCCTCTTACAATTGAACAGGAGGAAATGCTCTATGATGGTTGGAATTCTAACTGGCCACTGTAGACTCATGAGACACATGGCCCTCATGGGGGTGGTAGAGGACCCAATGTGTCGACTATGCGAAGAAGACGACGAAACTTCATCCCACATCCTTTGCGCATGTCCCGCAGTGGCTCGTCGAAGAAGAAAATGCTTAGGCTCAGTATATCTGGAGCCCGAACAGATAAGAAACATTCCCATCAATAGAGTGCTGACCTTCTGCGAGGGAATAGATCTCTTCAGGGAATGAACAAAAACACATGAGGTGAGGCTCCCTTGTCTCTCCTTGGGGCTCGTACCGTGAAGCCAAGGGACCCCAGAGCTGGGAAATGCGGACTCGGGTGCCGGACTAGTGAGCGCTCCAACGTTGAGACATGTGCGGGCTCAGGCGATGAGCCGCGTGGGCTCAAATGGGCCTGTGCGGCTCAAAGGGGCCCAATTGGGCTCCGGCGGGGGGATCGTGCGGGCTCGGATGCGGGCCAGCGCGTTCTCCGGCGCTGGACCAATGGGCTCTGGAGCAGGGCCTGCACGAGAGCTCACGATAGGAGCGGGTAGCAGTCGGGCTCTGGACCAGCGAAGGCTCTGGCGGGCGCATCCAGGCTCGCCGGGAGAGCAGATGGGGAGAGCACAAGGAGGACTCATACGAATGGTAGGTGAACGTCTACTCAGTTGAGGCCGGTTCGGAAGAAATGAGGGACGAAACAACAGAGGTACCACGATGGACCCACCCTAGAGGTCTAAGTGAATT